CCACCTTCTTGAAGTCTTAATAATTCAGTCTTGACATAATAACTGTACATGTACATGATCGTCACCCATCATTATATTCCTTTATTTGTTACAATTATATATTTTCCTCTTTTTCATGTATGCACGCATACTTTTTTTTGTTATATATTAAATATAGAATAAGTTAGCCGAATTTATGCAAATTATATGTTAAGTTATCAATTCCCTTCGTTTATCAAAAACGAAAAATTCATCTAATTGAAAAACAAATTATTTCTTATTTACAATTTTCTTTGACGAGTTTTATCATGCTCCGCGCAATCAATACTTCCTGAGCCAAATAAATACCTGTACCATTCCTAAGCGACTCGACCGTAAACATTTTTATAAATCTCTGCGCGATTTCTTTGAACTCGTCCGCAACATATGCATATTTTATGATTTTCATTATCTTACATTCTCTCTTGGCAAGAATTATCCACCTCCAAGATAAAGTAGAAAAAAGAGAAATAGAATATCTATAGCTGTTTTTAACCCATATACATTATGTTACGACGTCATAAGCCAACGATAATCGAATATTAATATTATAAGTCTATTTTTACATTTTAATACAATCCACTCTTTATAAAAAATTCTAAATATATTACAATATTCTGAATCTGTGTGCCTTCTGGCAGAATATACTATAATATAAAATAAAAAAATGCCAAACTTAAAATATATAGAACCATGATAAAATCAGTGAGATGTATTATTAAAATATACATATACATATATTATAAAAATGAAATAATAAAATAAAATCCAAGATAACATAAAATGAAAAATGAAAGCTACATGAAGGCGATGATGAAATTATAAAATAATTTGGCGGTGGATTTCTTACCGAAGTGACTCGCAACGCAAATTACGTTCAACGTTTCTCTATCGGAATTTACATAGTGCTTAACAGCAAAAAACACTGAGATTATACATTAGAAAATTTTTTACAAACGTTTTCGCTCATTACAATTATCGGCCGGCTGAGACTCTTTCGAAATAATTCACGTGCTCATATATGGGTCGTTCCGTTAAAAATAATAAAGCTAATGTGTAAGAAATGTTAACTAATAATGTGTGAGCAATCTGCAGGAGAGGTAAGTATAAACTGTTTTTTGTTGTTCCACTATTTTACAAAAAACGCAACTCTTTTATTGTGCGCGCAATTTTCAACGAGCCATACACGTCATCGTGAAAATTTAATCCTCATGTCGGTATGCTTAGTGCAAGTATGATTAGTATCTGGGCATTTACAATATAACATTAATTATCTCATCTTTGTAATTGGACGAGTAATCATATAACTTATCCTGCACGTATATCTTGCCCCGAGTGCTGCAAATTAAAGAGGTAAAAAAGCACATTTGACTCTCGATGTAATTTATAATAACAACTGTTAAAAACAGTACGAAAGAGATACTTTTCGTCTTCAAGTAAGAATCTCCAAAATTTTCGTTTTTTAAAAAGCAATAACAATCAAATTATACAATTCGATTCTATGAAGGTTTAAATGGCACTGACGCATACCACACATTCTGTATTTAATATATCTATACATGTATGGAGGCGTATGAGAGAAAGGTACACAACCACACTTAATCGCCTTTGCTTTTGCTTCTTATAGAAAGAAATCGAAAAGCCACTTATGTGCAATCAGCAGAGTATAAAATATAATAACGCAATATATATATTTACAGCGGTATATAAAGTTGAACTTTATCTTAGCGTATAATGAACCGTAGAGCCGTCTGTGTTGCATTAGTATCCACTTCTTTCCAGTAAATATCGAGCAGCCGTCCGTTTTATATCTCTTTCTTAGTTATCTTAATATAAAGGAGTTTAGAGGATCAAATCTGTTTTCTTCTCAATCACTGTAATAATAATACCTTTTAACATGTGCGATCACAATCACATACAATTTAATTTTTTTCGGTATACATATCCGGGATAAAATTATGTGTATAATTTTATCCCGGAAAGATTTAGATACCTCTACTCCATTTCGTAAGAATGAATGAATTCTTAAATGACTACAATGCACAATGTGCCGTACAAACTGCAGTGACGCTTGGTTGTCTTTTCAGAACTTATAATAAGTACTGTAGAATAGTATAGCGTATATTGTACAAATTAATAAATATAATATTCGATTTTTTCCAATGACTTTTTGTCAATAATATCTTTTGGGTGATATTTCTCTTTGTAAACGTACAGAAAATAACAAATGTTGATATACAAAAAAAAATTATCTTTATACTAAGAGAAACGGTCTGGTTGGATTAAATAATCTGATGAAAAATGGACGAATTTTCTGGTTAAATCTACTTGATTTTTCTGATTGATATTCTGGTAAAAATAAGAATTCTAGTAAATTTTACCAGAAATATTGTATCAGAATTCCGGTTATCTCAATTAGAATTTTAATAAATTTAATCAAAACATTCTGATTCGCCCATTTTCAATCAGAATTTTTTTTCGGTGTAGTTGTCATTTTTCCTATTTGAGTAGACCAACTTTTGCTATTACTTTCTCGTATGTTCATAACTGATGTGTGCAATTAAAGTATATATTTAAACAGATTTTGTTTCAAATACTTCATCATGTCTATTCACAACCAAGCTGATATATATTCAAAGCCATACGACATATTAATACCAGTTATTCTCGGTACGACTGATGACAGTATGGAGAGTTAGTTTGAGAGAAAGAGAGAAGAGGATGAGGTACACTGAACACAGACAGTTTAAACTTGTCCTTTGTACTATAAGACCGCAAGAGAAATTGGGCATCAAGAGCGATGTTGAGCCGACTTGATGCTCGTTTTACGGTACGGTCATCAATTATGCGAATGTCAATTTCGTACATACAGGTCGATTAGATATTCCTTTTTTTTCCAGCGGTGGATTTCCGCATAAAAACGTAGATTCTTCTCACATCGATGACGAGTGCTCGGCACGAGGAAATAGTCAAGTCCTTTGCTGATAAAACCGACAAGAGAAGTAGGCTATATTCTAAACTTCACAATTCTAGTATTACATACGATCGTAATTATGAGGCCTTTACTGATTAATAATCTTGACTTCCTCACTCGACATCAATGTAATTTGTTAAAAACAAATTAACAAAACTTTTTACAATGAATATAATATGCGTATATATACATGGCATTTGCGTGTATGCGTACATGCATACATACATATGTATGTATATATGTTGTTACATTGTATTTTTTACAAGTGACAATGAAATTCCAAGTCCCACAGGTAGATGCATGATAACAGAACGCAAGAGCATGAAAAACTTATATATTAAGAGAAATATATATATATATATTAAGATAATAACAGAACTCAGGAGCATGTCAAGGAGGATGTTAAGTTAGGTTATTTCTCGGTTAAAATGAAAAAGTTTCTAGATGTACAAATTTTATATCGTATTACAGGGTTACTTAAGCAGTCGAGTGGTATACCGCTTATCTTGAGGAAACATTAAGAATGTGGCAAAAATCGTTATTAAAGACAATAAAATTAAAAATTGTTAAATGAGATGTCAATATATTCTGCAAATTAAGCAATAAAAACTATATTATTATTATTTAAATACGATAACTTGATAAGCATATTTGTTATTCAAAACTAGAATTTGAAATCAAATGATTATTTTGTATCAGACTTTTTATCGTTTGTAAATCGCTTGAAAATTCTCCTCTAAATTATATGTGTTTAACTAACAATAACATTTGTTGCTTTATTCCCGGGATATTTTGATGTCTTAATTAACTATTTTTTATTAATAACTATGATAACATTAGCTTTACTGACTTTTCATCATTATTTATTTCATGTTTCCGATTTTTCCCTAAGATAAACGATGCACCACTCAATTCTGCTTAAGTAGTCCTTTAATAGGATACATAATTTGTACATGTCTCAGAACTTTTTCATTTTAGTCGGAAAACAACTCTAACTCAACATCTTCGTTCTACATGTATTAAGTTAATAAAAAAATTTATATGTTTCAGATTAGTGCGTCTTTTTAGTGTAACTGTAGAAAAAATAAATTTATTTATTAACCTAATACACGAAAAACAGCATGTGATTGCAAATAACATATGTACATTCTAGATCTAGATGCTCGATGAGTAATTCTTTTTTAAAAAAAAAGAAATGTTTAAAATGCTGTTGCGATCTGAGATCAGATTTAACATCTTTATTTACAGACCCGCCTTTACATTACTTATACATGTAGGATTCAAACAAATTTGTAAATCTGTTAAGTGCCAGTGCTGAATATGTTGACAAGTGTACTGTTTCCGTCACTCTCTTATATTAATATCTTTTATATTTTATATTTTAAACACTTTATGATATACAATTTGTTTATATTCACGCTGACCCGCATAAGTAATTGTAGCAACACGATTGGCCAATATGTATTTATCTCAATAATTAACACACATATATGTCAACCGTGTCAACTTCCACGCAACTATAATCATTAATGCGGAAGTCAATTAACAGCGGAATAAAAATATTGTTTATTAATATGTATGTTTGCGTAGTAACATGATATTGGATGGATAGCAAGGCCAGTGGGACATAAAAAGTCATTCAAGAAAATTATAAAAGAAACGTATTAAAATTTCATATGTAATGAAATTGTGCAGCTGGATACGTTTTTATAAGAAATTTAATTAAATAATAATACGAGTAGGTTTGAAAATGTATCGTTTATATTTTTCTTTTACTTTATATTATATTTAATGTTTCTATGTTGTAAAATTAAAATATATTCTCAGAGGTTCGTTATTGCACTTACGGAAACTTAATAAAATTTAGAGATACATTTAGGGTTACCACAATTTAAAAGTATTAAAAAGTAGAATATATTTTAAAAGAGCAGAATCCCATAAAGCAAATAATCGTGGTAATGGGGAAAGGGTAACCAAGTAAAAAATGAGATTTATTTTTAATGACTAATTTTATATTTTCAATAACACGTGATTGGACTACCAATTTTCAAACATTACAGAATATTTAAACATAAAAGAAATTCAGGTACATGCAGTTATTAAACTGTCTCACTAAAAATAGAGCAAATCTGGTCTATAGTGTGGCAACCTTATAGACATATCCCTAAATTTAGCTTTTTGTTCTTCCACATAAATACGCAATAAAACACGAGACGCGATAAGTTATTAACATCATTCGTTAAAATTACCAAATTGTCTTTTCATACTTTCAGTGACGTCCTTTTACAATTATAAAAAGATGTCAGTACTATGAGTATTATTAATATTTAACATCATAGATTCGTAATTACAACCAATAGAATAAAGAAATAAGTAAGACTGGTTCTGTATCCATCCGATACAAATACGTAATCGCAGAGGTAGTATTTAAGCTCGACCGAATTCGCGGCGAGCGAGTTAGCACGAGGAAAGTGCCGCACGCGGCCGTGCTGTATTAAAATCGAATGTATATTATATATACAAGTTAATTCCATCGTAAAATTTGAAAATTGCCAACTGCATAACACTCGATCGCCGCAGGAAATCTGCCTGAGTAGCGACTGTTATTTATAATGTATCAACGTTTTAAATAACAGTATTCAATGCGATTTTGTACGATCTTTGCATAATCAGTTAGTGAGCAAAGCGCGCAACCTTTTACATGACAGCGCGCAATTAAAGTTCTTAATCCCACAGAGTTAAGAAAACGACAAGGAAAGAAAAAGAATAATTTATATGTGTTAATCGCTCGATTATAGTGTGTGAGTTCTTTGTCTCACTGTCTTTCCATTTCGTTTTTTTTCCACTGACCAGAGGAAAATGCGGATCGAAGCGAACACACAGACTGTTTTAGTAATAGATAAATCACTTGCGGTCAACTTAAGCAATACCTTCTTCTTCGTAAGCTGAGCAGTTTTACATACGGTGCCCACAAATCTTCGTTGCTGCACTGATAATGATTATCCAGATCTTATCTTCGTCATAAATCTTGATGATATCAGTGTAATTCCAAAACAGAGAAATCTCAGAACACGATATCGCAACACAAATCGAGAAATATTATGCAACTTGCGCGTATGTCGAAAGCTTTGTTCTAATCCTTCGAGGAAAGGATAACTTTTAAAGCTTATTTCTTATTAATTACAACAATTACAACAATTTCCGGGATGCATCGTATTAAGTTCGCTTCTTGAAAGTGGTTTTCGCAAAGTGACTCGGAGACCATTCCGTTTCTCAGATGCCAAGTTTTTGCTTGGCGCTCATTTGCATTTTACAGTGATCCTGTTGCAAGGTTTTGAGCATTTGCTTCTGCATATTATGCTCGGCCTGGAAAATAACGAACAAAAAGTAATATCTCAATACATTGTGCTATATTTCTTTTGTATCAACTTATGTACCTGTAATTGTGACAAGTTTTTTCTTTGACCACGGAGAGCTGGGTTCTTGAGATCACGTGCTAGTACGTTGATTTGAGACTCATGCAGTGCCATGCTGTCTGCTAACTGGTAATATGTCCGGCTTAACTCGTCATTCACCACTTGCTATAAATATATAATATGTAATTTAATTCTTCTCGATCACTCTAAGCTGCATGAGTGCGTCTAAAACTATTTTAATTTATAATAAATCATCTATCACATTATATACTTACATCATCAGGTGTTAGTTGCTGTATTTTTGTTTCGTCGAAATCTGAAATAACTAAATCGGAATTAATTTGACGAATATACGTTTCCAAAAATATTTATAAATACTATATAAAATATAAATTCACCTTCGAAACCTGTAGTCCCATTACGTAGACCGCCAAATATCTTCATCATGAGTTCTGCGAACAAAAAGAAAAAAATATGTTCAAGAATACATCAATTATTATAAATTAATTTGATAACACCACACACAATGTGATTTTAAATGAAAATAGAAAAATTAAATAAAATATAGCTGAGATATGTATATGAATGCAATATACACTTATATAGGATAAATTATACCATGTACTATTCAAAGATTATAAAATAAGTTTGGACATTTTACTTCTTTGTTAAACGATTATTGTTAATGTAAATGACTGATAATAATAGCGTACTTATGACAATCAATTTATATTAGGCGCGAGCGCTCTAAACCGCTGAGTATTTATTGTTTTGATACGCGACCCATCCTAGGTCGCTACTCGACTCGCGAACAATGGTATCAATTGTCGCAAATGTACTTCGTGGCTAGATAGCGACGTGAACAGACATTCTTTCCGAGAGCGCTCCGAATTGTAAAAGTCAAAGTTCAATAAACTTGTGATTCTTTTTGTACGTGCACACTTTTCAGTTTCTTAACCATATTTTTTGGTCCTTCGAGCCGGATCGACGATCGAAGAGAATTAAGATCGAAAATCTATTAAAGTGAGTAACGTGAGACGTGTGATGGAAGCTGAAGGAATTTGGGCACGAGGCAAGAGAGTGAGAGAGGCGCAACCAGTGATCGTCATCGGCGCGTACACCGTGCATAGGGCGTAACACAGAACAAGACCAGCATATATTCTGAGCCTAGGTAATTCTGATTGCTAGCATCGTAACACGGCATAAAAGCTAACAGATTACATTTGAATTTCCGTAACAACAGCAGCGTGATTCGACAAGATCGATACTGGATGTCGAATCGTACATTCTAAAAACGCGAATCTGCAAGCTCTCAACAGAGGTCACGATCGATTTTTCGAAAGTCTAAATTCATAATTACTTACTTTAGCATATTAATTTACTGCGTTGAGAATTGCCGTTCGTTCCCGCAAAGGAGTCGGATATTCAGTCGGGAATGCAGTAACGCCGGCGCGGTGCAAAGACAAGTGCAACCGACGGGCAGTAACTGATGCGGCTCAAATTAAATCATTAAAAGTCAAACAAGCTCAGATAAGAAGTCAATGTACGAGGTTTCGTAATTATCTTAATATATTAGAGAATTATTAAAGAGGCAGTAACGATATTTAAACTTCGACAGAGAATGCAGAAAGTTTAGAAAACATGGAACAGCTTCAATGCCGTGCAATCCGAAATTGAGGAGATAAAAATTGATGACGAGGATCAGGAGCAGCATGAGGAGGAGAGGACTACGTTCGAAAGTAAATATTTCTTCATTGCATCGGAACTGAAGGCCTTGATAGAAGAAAAGGCGATGGCGACATGAGCAGGTTATACGCAGCCGATGGTCACATTGAATGACGAATCGAGCTCTCGGAGATAGAAGAAAAGGTGATAAAACAGAAGCATATAAAGGCATTATTCGAATTACCAACATTGGTAAAAGAGGATCATGTGGCATTGCGACGATTGTTGAACGTGGCCATGAAGCATTAGGAATTAGTTAGCAATCAGATAAGTGGCTTTTCAAGCGAACATTTGAAACTGTCTAGAGTTAATCTGCTAGTATTTTCAGGAATTTTCGACGAGTGGATTCCATTTCGAAACATATTTCAAAGTATGATTCATCAAAATACGGCGCTACCAAGCGTTCAAAAAATGCAATATTTGATGTTGACCCTAAAGGGAGAGGCTTGCGACGTGATTGCTTCTCTGGAGGCATATGACGAGAATTGCGTGGAAACCTGGGAGCTTCTTAAAGCAAGATACGATGATACAAAGGCGATAAAACAGAAGCATATAAAGCCATTATTCGAATTACCAACATTGGTAAAAGAGGATCATGTGGCATTGTGATGATTGTTGAACGTGGCTATGAAGCATTTGTATGCCCTGAAAGCTATGAAGAGACCCACCGAGCACGATTTGATGATGCATTTGCTGACGAGTTGATTGAATCTAAAAACAAGCCGAGCATGGGAAGTGGCCTCTAAGCAGGAGGAGAATCCTACATTCGGCGATTTAACTGATTTCTTGACTCAGCATTGTACAGCGTTGGAGGCGTTCTCCTATGATCAGCGGCCGGCTACTGCAAGTTGCAATCAGGAAAACTCAAGGCGAATTAGGAGTACGGTGACTTGCACGGCCATCATGAGTTCATCGTGCATATATTGCGGAGACAAGAGTCATGCAATAATATAAATGCTCGAGTTATCTACAGCTAGGTGTGAAGGATAGAACGAAGAAAGTGAAGTCACGTGGATTGTATCTGAATTATCTCCGGATCGGCTCTCATCGGGCCGCGCAGTGCGGTTCCGGATCATGTCGCAGGTGTCACAGGGGCCATACCACATTATTGCACGAGGATCGAACGGCGATTGCTGCGACGAGGATGGCGGCAGGTTCGGATGCGGACCGGATGATGACGACAAGCGTATTATTTAAGTCACGTATTATTTGATCGAAATGGGCATGTGCTTCTCGCGACGGCGGTAGTACAGGTGTTGGATAGCAAGGGCATTAGAAGATCCTGTCGTGCGCTGCTGGATGGCGGGTCACAATCATGTTTTATAACCAGGAAATGCGTTGGGCCTCAAGCATTGTCCGGCGCATGTTTTGGTTAGTGGACTGGGAGCGATAACTTCTCAGGTTCATACGTGACTAGCAGAGGGCTGAATTCCGAGGTCCACCCTTATGGATTTTGCGACGCCAGCGACCGTGCTCATGACGCTTGCATCTATTTGCGCAGTAGTGACCGGATGGGTTCGATTCAAGTGAGGCTGCTGTGTGCAAAATCGAGAGTCGCGCCGCTCAAAGTACTATTAATTCCAAGGTTGGAGTTATGCGGAGCACAGTTGTTGGCGCAGCTGGTTTGCAGGGTCAAGGCGACATTAGAGATGAATATTAAGAAGGTGCATTATTAGACGGATTCATCTATAGTCTTGCATTGGATCAGGACAGCAAACAAAAAGTTGCCGGTCTTCGTTGTTCATAGGGTCGGTGAGATTCAGAAGTTGATGGCAGTCGAGGATTGGCGCCATGTTGGATCCAAGGAGAATCCTGCCGATCTTGTATCGAGAGGTTGTGGCCTCGGAGTTGATTATAGAGCATGAGCATAGGAGAAATTTACATGCGGGAGCTGAGACTACGTTTGCAGCCATGCGCCAGCGATATTGACCTCTCAGGGCGCTCGATGTGGTGCATCGGGTACTTCGACGATGTATTATATGTCTCAGAGCAAAGCCACGTTTGGCGCAGCAAATCATGCGGAGTCTGTCGAATGGATGGATGATACCGACAAAGCCGTTCAGTAGGACAGGAGTGGACTTTTGTGGGCCGATTTATGTGCGTGAGAGCCGGCGAAGGAATGCTAGACGGATAAAGTCTTACGTCGCATTGTTCACATGCATGGTCAGTAAAGCGGTTCACTTGGAGGTGGTATCGGATATGACTACGGACGCGTTTCTCGGCGCTTAACTTAAGCGCTTTATCGGTCGTAGATGTAGGCCAACGGATTTATTTTCAGATAACGGCACTAATTTTGTAGGGGCTAATCGTGAATTGGCGGAGTTGGTTAGTTGGATGTTTCATCAGGAGACAAAAAGGTTAAAAATCATAAAATGAGACAACAGTAGAAAGGATAAAATGGCACTTCATACCGGCGCGAGCCCCACATTTTGGTGGATTGTGGAAGTCGGCGATAAAATCATTTAAAAATTGTTTTTATAAAATAGCGTCGTAGGCTGCAATGCCTTTTGAAGAAACTGCTACATTAGTGATTCAGATAGAGACGATATTAAATTCTAATAAGATCCTAATGACTTAAATTGTCTGTCGTCCGGTCATTTTCTTATAGGAACTGCATTAACATCTTATCCAGAACCTGATGTAACTGAGATTAAAATGAATAGGCTGTCTATGGCAGATGTTGGAGCGAATGTATCAACACCTTTGGAAGCGATGATCTAGGGAATATTTGACGAATTTATGGCAACGAAATAAATGGCAGG